AAAAAAAAAGTTAAAAAAATTAACTTTGAAAGACTAATGAATCATGGTAAAAAAAAAAAGCCATAAATTCTATGTGCAGTATTCCCCTAGCGCTGGAGTTCTGCCATTCTCATTGATCGGTAAACTTGGTATTACAATACCAAATATAGAGTCGTATACAAAAAAAAAAAAAAAGCGTTAGAAGAGCGAGCGAAGCAGTCTGCGGGAAGGAGCGGGTGCTAGCAGTTCTCCTCGCAGACCCCCGGACCCGCCTCCGAGATGTCGTATATGCTCCCGCACTTGCACAACGGCTGGCAGGTGGATCAGGCCATCCTTTCGGAGGAGGACCGCGTGGTAGTCATTCGCTTTGGACACGACTGGGACCCCACCTGCATGAAGATGGACGAGGTGCTCTACAGTATAGCCGAGAAGGTTAAAAATTTTGCAGTTATTTATCTTGTGGATATTACATAAGTGCCTGACTTCAACAAAATGGATGAGTTATACGATCCGTGTACTGTCATGTTTTTCTTCAGGAACAAGCACATCATGATTGACCTGGGTACTGGTAACAACAACAAGATCAACTGGGCCATGGAAGACAACCAGGAAATGATAGACATCATCGAGACTGTGTACCGGGGCGCCCGGAAAGGTCGCAGCCTGGTAGTGTCTCCGAAGGACTACTCCATGAAGTACAGATACTGAGCTCAGCCCAGCCTCCGTGCACAGAAATGGTGTGCAGTCATTTTCATGTGGAAATATTGGAAACTATTTAAAGCCTTAGAGAAAGCGTTTGGAGGAGAATACAAAGATGAAGGGGTTGGAGGGTCTTTGCAGTAAGGGTTGCATGGCCTCAACTCTCTGCCTGCCTGGCTGTTGTATTTTTATATTAGCAAATATCTGTAAATATCTAGCCGAAATAAATACGCAGTAATGGAAAGTCGTAATTGCTTGTTTCTTCTTTTAATTGCTTAAAATTAAAAGTCGTAATTGCTTCTTCTTTTTCTTGGCTGGCTGTTCTTGCTGATCTTCTGGGGGAGGGGCCTGTTGCCCTGGTTCCCAAATGTCTTTGCCGGAGGCGGAATTGCCCCGCCCTTGTCAGTCCAGGCTAAGCAAGCTGCTAGGGTTTGCTCTGGGGAGCTTTTGTTCCCTGCAAGCTCTCAGTACAGCTTTGGAGGACGAGAGTGAAAATGGTGGCCTCCCAATCTCCGACCCAGAGGAGCTGAGAACTCGGGGCCCCACTCCTCAGTGCGCCCCCAGAGAAAAGCAGTCACTCCCGTCTCCCGGTCTCCGGCGCACTCTGTGCTCACCCGGCCTGTGACCGAGCGTTTCTATCTCTGGCACCCGACCCCGTGTGGAGTCTCCAAACCCAGCAGATCCCTGCGGTGCACTCCCGCGCCACTCCTCCCGGGAGAGGAAGGGGCGTCTCCCCAGATCTGCCGCTTGTTGGGTCCCTGCTGGAGGAGCAGTGGCCCGACTGGCCCGCGCATCACAGTTTATGGCCACCCTGAGCTGAGAGCCCGCGCCTCGGCTCCGTCTCTGCAGCCGGCTTCCCCGCTCCGATACCTGGGAGCTCTGCTGCACTCAGACACCCCGGGTCTTTCTGTGACCCCGAGGGTCCTGAGACCACACTGTCCCGCGAGGGTTCCACACCCCCCCCCCCCTTAGCCACTGGAGCGACGTCCCTCAGCAAAGCTGACTTCTAAAAGTTCTGATTTTGGGCTCCGCGGCTCTATCACTTGCCAGAAGCGGCCGACGGAGGCCCCTCCCCCGCCGTGTATCCTCCCGAATATCGCCTCGGATTCACTTCTCCGCACGTCCTACCTTCCAGAAAGTGGTCGCTTTTCTGTTCAGAGTTGTTGCTACTCTTTTCTTCGATCTCCTGTTGAGTTCGTATGTATTCAGAATGGTTTGATCCCTATCCAGCTGAATTCCTGAGACCAGATGAAATCCAGGTCTCCTACTCCTCCGTCATCTTGCTCTGCCTCTCACACCCCTGTGACAGCTTTTATTCTTGACTTTCCAAAAATGTTTATATAGCAAACATCTTGGAAGATAGAAATGACATCTCCCTTTGGGGCAAAGGAAAGTTCTGTTTGCCCTCCAGGACAATAAAGCTAATGTCTCCCCTAAGGCAATGAGCAGATTTGCTAGCAGCCCCCTCATGAGACTGAGAGTTTCCTAAACTCGGTATACCTCAACTGACACAAACCTCTGTACCCAGTATCCAGCTGGGACAACTTCATATCATCCCCCATGGGACGGGGAAATTAAAGGACTGACACAAACATAAAGTCTATGTTGCCTGCTACGTCATGCATAATAAAGCCCTTTGATTCTGACCCAGAAGCTTCACATCTTCTGCCAGCATCTATGAAACTGGAAGGATAACTTTGTACCTTCTAGGTAGGATAAAATCTCAGACCCTTCCATTTTTTGACAAACACCCAGATAAATATATAGAGATAGCATGTGTATGACTTGAAAGACTAAATATTGTAATTCTACCAGTTCTCCCCAAATTGATCTGTAGATTCAGTGCAATCCCAATCAAAATTACAGCAAGATTTTTCATAGAAATTGATGTTAATACTAAAATATAAATGGAAATGTACAGGATTTAGAATCAAACTTGGAAAAGAATGAAGTTGGGGGATTTACATATTATTTGACCTTAAGACTTACTATAAAGTATGATAATCAAGACATTATAATAGTTGTATAAAACTAGACAAATAGATCAATGGGACTTAATAGAAAGCCCAAAAGTACGCCACACATATATGGCCAAATAAATTTTGACAGAGAAACCAAAGTAATTAAATGGGTAAAGAAGACTTCTCTATATACAGTACTGGATCTACCAGATATCCATATTTTAAAAGTTTTGTTGATCCCTACCTTACACCATACATAAAACCCAAATGACAAAGCTCTTATAAGAAAATGTAGGCAAATATATTTGAGACCCTGGGATAGGCAAAGATTTCTTGAAAAGAATGTAAAAGGCATGAACTATGAAAGAAAAACATGGATGAACTGAAACTCCATCAAAATTTAAAACTTCTGTTCATCAAAAGATAGAATTGAGAAAATGAAAATGAAGCCCACATACTGAGAAGAAATATTTGTGATATATATTTCTAGTAAAGGACTTGTATCCAGAATATATAAAGAACTGCTATAGAGCAATAATAAAGCCAAATAACCAATTTCTTTAAAAAGGCAAGGGACTGCAATAGATCCTTCATGAAAAAGGATTTACAAATGGTCAATAAATATCTGAAAAGATATTCAACATCATTATTATCAGGGAAATACAAATTAAAAGCACAGATACCACTGCATACTCACTAGGATTGTCAAAATTAAAGACTAATAATACCAAAATGTTGGAGAAAATGGAGAGCTACTGGATACTGGTAGAAGCTTAAAATGGAACAACTACTGTGGGAAAATGTTTGGCAGAATCTTATAATGTTAAACCCTCACCTACATTAATATTTAACAATTCCACTCTTAGATATTTACCTCCCCCAAAGTGAAAACATATGTCAACAAAAGTTCTGTACAAAAATGTTTACTGCAGTTTTATTCATAATAACACAAAATTGGAAACAACACAAATATCCATCAACAGGAAAATGGATAAACAAATTGTGGTATATTCATACAATGAAACATTACTTCATATTAGAAAACAAGCTAATAATGCAAAAAAAAATACTAATGTATCTCAAAAACATTATCTTGAATGAAAGAAGCCAGACACAAAGGAATATTTATGGTATAACCTTATTTACATGAAGTTTTGCCTGAAGTACAGGCAAAATTAGTATATAAAGCTAGAGATCCAAATAGTGATTGCCTGAGGGAAATACAGAAAGAGACTGGAAAGGTACTCAAAGAACTTCTTGCGGGGATGAAAATGTTCTATACCTTGACTGGGATCTTTGTTACATGACTGTGTGCATTTGTCAAAACTCAACTGTTACACTTAAATCTATATATAATTCATTGTATGTAATTCTCAATTCAAAATGAAAAAAAAAATACTACCAAAAAAAGAATACAAAATGGATTTTATTTAAAACTCATTTAGCTCCAAACTATTCAAGGTCTGACATTCAAATTGAGATTATTTGCTCTGTATCCACAGGTGTTGAGAAAGATATCCTCTCGGACTTTACACAGCTATGAAGGCAACAACATTAGGAAAACCATTAATCAAAATTTGATAGTGCCTAACTGCAATCAGAAGAAGAAAATAAAGAACACCTTGGACTATAAAAGCAGGTGAAACACACCCAAAGGACCTAGTCAGTCACAATGTTGGTGTTCTTGCTTCTTGTGACTTTGGCCCTAGCATCTGCTCACCATTCTGGTGAGCACTTTGAAGGGTAAGTAAGCAACTCCTTAAATGAGTAAGTCCTCTTCCTTGCTATCCCCAAAATTTGAATGCATTACCCAATTTTAAATTTTCTCTTCTTTTTCTATGTCACCATTCAGTGAGAAGGTGTTCCGTGTCAATGTTGAAGATGAAAATCACATCAATTTACTCCATAAGTTGGCCAGCACCACCCAGGTAAATAATGATCCTATAATATAGGTTTGCTTTACACTTACTTTAAAATCGTAGAATGCACTGTGATTCCATCAGAGGAAGAATGACTAAAATCTTAACCATAGCAAGAAATAACTTGAAAAACATTTAATGCCACAATACTTTCTTTTTCTGCCTAAATTAGATTGCCATAGCCCTATAGTATTATAAATCCATGATAACTTCTTAAGGAGCTGACAGGACATGACAACTGGATGAGATGGAACTGTCACAAAGGTCACAGAACATCTAATGTACAGTCACTTCCCTTCTAAGGCAAAAGTGAAAAATGATCAACTTGGATATTACTGAAAAACTGGGCTTCTGTCCAACTTGAAATTCATTTCCACATCCCATGTATCATCTGTTCCCTTTGATTTTCTTTCATTCCAAATCAAACAGCTTGAGTTTTCATGACCTTGATTCAGGACCTCTTAATGATATGACATGACATGAAGGGGTGGGGGGCAAAGGAGGTAAAAAGCCATGAATGATTTTCGTATTTTTTTTACTTTCAAGAAACCAAAATCTCTATGCTACTTAAAAAAATCCACTGTATATGGGATGAGAACTGATAATTTTAATTATATGGGTACATAGCAGGAAGCTATTGCTAACCACAAATCGTTCACTTGGGCCAAACCTGTTTCATCATGAAATATAAACCAAAAACATAATTTTCTAGCCCCCAAATATCCATCTGTCTATATCTATCTATCTATCTATCTATCTATCTATCTGCCTACCTATCTATCTTTTTTTAGTTTTTTTTCTTTTAGCATTTAAGGTATGGGGGGGGAAGAAGATACAGTATCATAATCTGAAACAGATTCGAAAGTCTAGAATTGAAAGAAAATAAAAAGTCATTGATTCCAGCTTCCCACTCAAATCTGGAATTTCCTCCGTAGAAACACCATCCCTAGTTGCTAGCCCTAATAAAACCTGTTTGAGTACCTCCAGGGATGGCTGGAATACTGCTTTTCAGAGTAGTCCATTTGCCTTACAAGTCATTCCAGGACTTTAAAAACTACTAAGTAGTAGCTAAAAGTACTAAGTTTAAAAGTAGTAGCTAAAAGTAGCTAAAAGCTACTTTCTCTAACTCTAGTCCACTGGACCTAGCTGAGCCAAATACTGTCTCACCTCTAAGATTTATTTCTTCCAGGCCTTCTATAATTTCTCTTAGCACAGGTTTATAGACACCTGATCATTCTGGTCACCTCTGGATATAGCTCAATTTTTCTGTCTATATTTCTTTTTTTAAATGTAGCTTTCTGAAATGACAATGGACCTCTAGGTTTGCTCTGATTAATACATACTACAGGACCATTGCCTGTCTTCAA